CCTGTACTCTGTTACCTGTAGTTTGTTAGCTGTAGTTTGTTACGTGTACTCTGTTACCTGTAGTTTGCTACCTGTACTCTGTTACTTGTAGTTTGTTACCTGTAGTTTGCTACCTGTACTCTGTTACCTGTAGTTTGTTAACTGTACTCTGTTACTTGTACTGTTACCTGTACTCTGTTACTTGTACTGTTACCTGTAGTTTGTTACTTGTACTTTGTTACCTGTAGTTTGTTACCTGTAGTCTGTTACCTGTAGTTTGTTACCTGTAGTCTGTTACCTGTAGTTTGTTATCTATACCCTGTTACCTGTAGTTTGTTACCTGTAGTTTGTTACCTGTACCCTGTTACCTGTAGTTTGTTACCTGTAGTCCTGTAGTTTGTTACCTGTAGTTTGTTACCTGTACCCTGTTACCTGTAGTTTGTTACCTGTAGTCCTGTAGTTTGTTACCTGTAGTTTGTTACCTGTACCCTGTTACCTGTAGTTTGTTACCTGTAGTCCTGTAGTTTGTTACCTGTGTTTTGGAGGCAGACTGAGTAGACACAAAGAGCTCCATCTCTCCTTCTTCTCGGGGAACAGCCAGCGTGACGTTTGTCTCCAGGTAGAAATGTTCCTGACCTCCGATGTGTATCTCACCTGTCAAATGAACCAATAACCAATCAATGATGAGATCCATCAGTATCACCTGGAATAATGAGGCAGCCACAGCCTACCCTCCAGGATGTGGTCGGCCTGTTTAAACCCCGCCTCCAGGTCTCCCTTCTGTATGGTTCTGATTGGCTGATAGAAGGACTTGGCAGCGATGGCTTCCTGTCAATCAGACAAACAAAATCTTTTTTTTTTATATTCTTACTACTTTTGCAGGAAGCTATGCTAACTGCAGCTAATATGTGAGCTGGAACATGGACACAGGTGTGCCCAGGTGTTGCTGGTCTCACCTGGATGGTGATGATTGGCTGCAGCTCTTCGTACTGAACTCTCACAGCTTTGGCTGCTCTCTGAGCGTGGAGCTGTGTGTCGGCCACCACGGCGCCGATGATGTGACCCACACAGGTCACCTGCAGAGAGGAGGGAAAAGTCAAACACCTGGATCTGACAGAGCCCCATGATTGGTTGATAAGTCAAACATAAACACACCTGGCGGTGGGCCAGGACAGTCTCGTCATGCTCGATTGGCCCGGTGGCGTTGCAGCCGGGGATGTCATCAGCAAACAGACAGGTGACCACGCCGGGCATCTTCTCTGCTGCAGAGGCGTCTACGGAGCTGAGACACACACCTGGTCAGACAGGCAGTAGCAGCTGTGTGTGTGTGTTGTAAAGGTGTGTTGTACAGGTGTGTTTCTTACAGGATGTTAGCGTGTGCCTTTGAGCTGGTTATGAGCGCCAAGTAAAGCTCGTTCTCATACAGCGGCACATCGTCGCAGTAAACCGCCTCGCCCGTCGCCTGCTTCAGAGCCGACAGATGCATCATGGGACGCCCCACTGAGTCATCCTGGCTCCGCCCCTCAGGTACAGCCTGAAGGTGACAGGACAGGTACGGTGGGATGTTTTCAGCTTCTCCTCACATTGAGGTTTTTCATCATTTTAGTTTTTGTTGAATATTATTAATTGGACTTTAATTGGTTTGTTTTAACAGTTATTTATGTAACCATGACAACCAGACACTTACCTGGTACACCTGAACACTGGACGGAGACTCTGGATGATAAATCTCTGCAGCGCTCATACAGTCTGAGGAGACGTCGTCCACAGTCACACCCTGAGAATAAAAACATGGAGAATTAAAAGAACAGTTTGTAAACAACGATATGAAAAACAACCTGAGTGTTCACTCACCTGTAGGCGGAGCTTCTGTAGCACCGTCAGGTAGAACTTGTAGAAGAGGCTGAGGGTCAAAGTTCTCCGGTACGTCACCATGCCGCCAGGTGCAGAGGGGTCAAGGGTCATCTCCTTGGCCAATAGGGAACAGGCCTCCTGCAGAAGCTCCTCCCCCCAGTGCCTGGATGACATCATACAGAGTTACTGTATCTTTCCTCAGGCTTTTATTTTGAAATTTATTTGAAATCTGTTTTTACCGTCCCAGAAGCCCGTTCGCCGTTTTCTTGGCCAGCACCGTGGTTGCCGCCATTCCGCCGTAGCTCAGCCTCAAGTCCTCAACAACGTCAGTCCCAGGGGTGAAAGTGACGCTCATCGCCGCGGTGACGATGCTGATGTCATCCTCACGACGAGGGGACTGTTTGAAGGCGGAGACTAACTGAAACTGAAGACGGAGAAACAGGAAAACACAAACGTCAGTCTGAACGTTGATGGATGTATGTCTCTCTCTGTTGTTGCTAGGTGACAGGCAGTGGTTGCTAGGTGACAGACAGTGGTTTCCAGGGTGACGCTGTATCTACCTTCTTACTGTAGGGGATCTCTATGGACAGCAGGATCTCCTGCGGTCGCAGAACCGTCTTCCTGTAACCTGTGAAGAAACCGTCGTCCATCTGAACCACACGGCTGCCATCTGAGGGTCGGAGGTCAAAGGTTAAAGGTCAGCACCAAGGTCATGAGGTCATATTTGTGTACTTGTTTTGCTCACAAACAACAGTAAAAAAATGTCAGAAATCAACAATAATCTTCACTTCTGTCTTCCCCAGTTTTGGGATAATCGTGGTGTTGCCTTCATGTGCTGTAGGATATTTTGGAACTAGTCAAGTTAAATGGACAAAAATGTTAAAGTCTTAATCTAGCACTCTGAACATAAACTTTATTCAACACAAGCTGAGATATAAACTTCTTTATTGATTGTTCACAGGAAGTGACCCAGCAGTCTGCTGATCATCAGGACTTTGGACTTTAGGGCACCTGAACGCCTCCTGGCCATCATGGAGCAAGTGAACACACCATGATGAGGAGTTCTCAAATGCTGTTTTCTGCGAAGCACCATTTAGTGTTGTAACTTTCAAAATAAAGTGCACACTGAAGAGACGTTCAATTTAAAACTAAAATGAAGAAGTGGTCGGAGTAAAGACGTGAAAATGAAACTGACCCCGAGTGTGTGTGTGTGTGTGTGTGTGTGTGTGTTCAGCTTATCAACAAACTCTGACCTCAGAAAAAACTTATTCCTGGAATAACCCAAGGTAAATAACTTTATTTGTGTGTGTGTGTGTGTGTGTGTGTGTGTGTGTGTGTGTGTGTGTGTGTGTACCTTTGTCCATCAGTGTGAGTCTGCAGCCTGCTGCCATAAAAACAGGGTTGAGGTCTGAGATGGGGCTGGCTGTCATGATGTTTCCTCCAACAGCCTGAAAACATTAAAACAACAGAATTGTTTGACACCTTGATGATTTTATGAGCCTTAATGTCCTTTAATGACGTGTGGAAACATGTTTAGTGTTTGATTGAGTTTAATCCACAGTCAGAGCTGAACCAGACAGCTGTAGTCTCTGTTTAACTCTGGGCACTGTGATCTCCCTGGCACCTTGAACTACTCACTGGCTCTGTGTATGTCCTGGAAAAAGCTCAGTCCTCAAACTTTCTTGAACTCCGATAGATGTTCTGCAACTTTCCAGTGTCCCTGAACTACACACTTTCTCTGCAAACTGTGATCTAGAGTCTAGAGTATTACCATGTTCCTGAACTCATCACTGGTTGAGTACTGGTTCACTTAAAGTTTACTCTGCTTTACAGGGTCCTTGAACTACACACGCTTTAATTTACAAAAAACAAGTGAACTACCCAGCAGCTCTGTATGTTCCCTCAGAGATCTTTACTCTAATCTGGGAAAACCCTGATCTCCTACACTCTTTGAACTCCCCACAGTGTTTGTTAAATATCTTGAGTGGCTGTTACTGCCTCGCTCAGTCAATAATAAACTTTGTGCTACTCACCGCTACGTTTCGTATCTGCAGTCCAGCGAACCAGCGCAGCTGTTCGAGGACGGCGAGGAAGACTTCTGTCTGATGAGGAGGAAGAGTTTCTACTGCCTTCTTAAGCACCGCCCCCATGTGGCTGAGTGTGCACGCTGCACCAAAAACTACACCTGAAGAGAAACAAATACAAGAAAGAGCCTGAAACTTAATATTTAACATATAGAGTCATATTTTAACCTTTTATATCAAGTAGTACTCACCGTCCGCTGTGTGTGACACGTTGTTCAGTTCAGGGATGAACGCTGGAGCCAAGATGACCGGGTACACCATGTTCTTAAACTTCACCTCAATACCTAAAAACAAACAAACACAGTAACCAAGTGACAGAATGAATGAATGAATGAACCAATGAATGAATGTGTTGGTGAGGGGCTTACTGACCCACTTCAGTGTTGCCCACCACCACTCTGGCGTCTGGATGTTCCCACTTCAGACGCAGAAACTCGTCCAGACTGTCAGGCTGCAGCCACGATGCCCGGTCGCCACGGAAACAAAGCAAGCCTGACCTCTGATCTTTAGAGAGCGACTGGACGAGAGGAAGGAGAGAAAATAAGAAGATAACAACTATCACTGGATTAGATCAGAAAACCTGATGATTCGACGGATAGCTCCAGAGTTTTTTCTGGGTTCTAAGCAGATTTATGGACTTAAAGTTGATCTCACTGATGAATGTAGTTTGTAATAAGAAAGAGGAGGTCACTCTGTATCTAATGATGTCTGTTTCATGTATGCATGTTCAGTATTGATGGAGTTTTCATCTAAAGTCTGAAAAAAAGCCTCCATATTCGGCTGTACGCTGATGATGTCCTGATTTATATCAGAGATGAACATTTTGAAATAAGCGAATTTTGACCTTCAGATCTCATTTAGGCCATGTGACCATGGCTGTGTGATTGTGTTTATCTGTTCACCATGAGCTCAGGGGGGAAGATGACCTCCTGTGTTGGATCAAACGGAGTGAAGTCTGCTGGATTAAAAAGAGACGTTGCTTCCTGCAAAAACAAAAACAAAGTTTACAGTCAAAAGCATTTAAGATTCTGGCACTGGAATTACTCCCCGGTAAACAAATTATTTATATTATTATATGCTGGTCAAATGTCTTTCTCAAACTGCAACACAGCCATCGACCACTTGGCGGGGCTGTAGCCATAGACTGGTTGTAGCTCTGGTTAATGGTCATGAGCAGTTTGTCAGTGTTTGGATCTGTAGAATGGAAGTTATATGTCACTGAGTCAGGTTAAACTAACCAATGAGTGACCACATTCAGCTCAGACACGAGGACGTTAACCTGCAGGGAGGTCTGAAGGCTGGAGGTGCTAACACTGCTAACATTAGCCACACTCAACTAATCCAATTACATCATGCAAACACTCAAACAGCCTTAAATAAATTGTGAAATGTGACTGTTTTCTGAGAGTTTTGGAACCTTCAGACTCTTCAATAAGTTTGTATTTATATTTCCGTTGAACTGCAGAGGAACATCCTTACTTTGAAATCAGTCCACACACAGTCAGACTTACATCGCTGTCTTCCTTTGAGCTTTTCTCAGCTGCGTTCCCATTGGTCATACAGCAGCCGTTCTCCCGTCCCCGGCCGCCGCAGCAGCCGCCGTCCTGGAGGAAGAACAGAGCAGGTTACTGTGGACATTCAGACAATGTCATACTTTGATGTTTAATTCATGAACCGCTGAATAAATCCACATTAACAGGTGTAAGATAACGTGTGTTTCTCACCACAGTGAACGTCTTGTATCCCTCCAGGATAGGTCTGTATCCAGTGCAACGACAAAGATTACCTGGAGAAATGACCAAATGTTATTCTGTATGATCCTTTTCTGTCACATATGAGAGGTCAATCATCACTTTCAGTCCCATCACCAAATGTATGATCTATCTGTGTCAGTACCGTGGAAGGCCTCCTCCACGTCGGCCATCTTTGGTTTGGGGTTGTTCCTCAGCAGAGCGTACATGGACATGACGATCCCCGGGGTACAGAAACCACATTGAGAGCCATGAGCCATCGCGATCCGCTCCTGAACAACACAAAGAGTTACACCTGAAGAAGAACTACCTACAACCTGTCCACATGTCTACGTCAGGTGTTGTCTTTCTCCCTCTAGTGGACAAACATATATTAAAGCTTTGTGTGAAAACACTTTAGTTGAGGTTAGTTTGTGTTTTACCTGAACAGGATGTAATTCTCTCGCCACGCTGCCGATGCCCTCCACAGTCGTCACGGCAACCAGGTGCAGTGAGCAGAGGGGGGCGAGACAGGCGTTCACGGCGTAATGACTCGACGCGAGTTAAAGACTTTTAGACCGCTCACAGAAAGTTCATCAGAGGAGAGCACACACACACACACACACACACACACACACACACACACACACACACACACACACACACACACACACACACACACACACACACACACACACACACACACACACACACACACACACACACACACACACACACACACACACACACACACACACACACACACACACGCTTTGAGGATACAGCAGCTGCTGAGTGTGTGTTTGGTATCTGGACAACATGACGGTGCACGCTCCACAGCCGCCCTCCGCACAGCCCAGCTTAGTTCCTGTTAAACCCACTGAACACACACACACACACACACACACACACACACACAGTACATGTGTGAAGTCACGGGATCACAGACAGTGATCTTCATCTTCACGCTTTCTGTAAAACACTCGACCAGCTGCTCTGACCTTTCATGCTACATCTGGTTTCCACTCAGCCAATCAGAGGGCAGCATTTCATTTAGCATTTCACTAACCCTAACCCATACCTTAGTAAAAGTCCTTGATTTGGATCCAGGACCCTGGAGCTCGTTAAACCTGGACTGTCAGTGTTGTTTTGGACTTTGATCAGCTGACCTCTCTGTCGCTCGTTTAAGAAACGCCAGCTTTAACCACAGAGGAGATTTCTTTACTGCTGACTGAGCAGAAAAATCTCTCTGATGTCTGACTCTGTCCTCTGTCCTGTCTCAATTCTGCTTCCAGTGTTGTGACACAAGTGTGTGTGTGCGTGTGTGTGTGTGTGTGTGTGAGTGTGAGTGTGTGAGTGTGAGTGTGAGTGTGTGTGTGTGTGTGTGTGTGTGTGTGTGTGTCTGTGTGTGTGTGTGTGTGTGTGTGTGTGTGTCTGTGTGTGTGTGTGTCTGTGTGTGTGTGTGTGTGTGTGTGTGTGTGTGTGTGTGTGTGTCTGTGTGTGTGTGTGTGTGTGTGTGTGTGTGTGTGTCTGTCTGTCTGTGTGTGCATACATTTCCTCCTCAGGTACGTCAGCAGGGTCATCTCAGGATCTGCATTTCTCTCCACAATCTGAAACACACATTAAAAAAATATAAAAGTTCGTTACACACACACACACACACACACACTTGTGTCACAACACTGGAAGTAGAATTGAGACAGAATCCACATTTTGTTCCGCATTCTCACTTTTGGATCATCACATGTGAAGTTCTTCACGCTCCCTGACTGTTCATGATGTCTGATTATTCCACACATTCCTCTCTCACTGCACCAGAGCTGTGTGTTTACACATCAGTTAATTATTATTATTATTATTATTATTATTATTATTATTATTATTAATAAAACAGGAGACTCATATGAATGTAATCACTCATGATGAGCTGAGGTGATTGAAACAGAAGCTGAAAGCAGTGCAGAGTCTGTAACTCACTGATACGTCATTTAAACAGAATATTAAATATCTTTTACCTTCTTCCCGTTAACGAAGAAGATGAGTTGGTCAGACCCAGATCCGGACCCGGGGCGGGTCTCGCCTTCGGCTTTGGTCCCATCCGTGCCCCCCATGTCTTCGGTCCTCTGTGTCCTCTGAACGGTGCCGGTCCCTAATGACCCGGACTCTGCGCAGAGAGGTGTGTCCTTCAGGGACCCGTAGAGACAAACTGCTCCTCCTCCCGTGAAAACCCTCAGCTCAAACCGCCTCACCTGAGCCGAATGTAAAGGTGCGTTCAGGTGCTCCCAAATCACCCACAGGTTTCCTCGGTCACGCGCTATTATTCGATAAAATCATCATTCATTTAAACTCCGTTTATTTTCTAACCGAGTCTGGAACAGCGTGTTCTTCTCCTCTTTCCCTGTAGAATGTAAGTGTTGTTGCTTTTTCATACAGAAAGACTGACACGCAGTACCCTGCGTGACCTTTGAGCCCAGATAAAACTGTGGCCACGCCCTCTTTATGCCAATCATTCACAGAGGCCATTCTCAAAGCCACTCAGTGAGGTTCAAGTGAAACTTTAATACTCATACTCTGTCCAGTTCACTGATTAATATCATCTTCATTAAAATAAGTTGTAATATAAAAAAAATAATAATAATATCAAAATAAAATGATCTACATACAGTTATCAAATATTTATCATGAAAACATGAAACTGTTCCAGAATAAAACATTAAAAAGTGTCAGAAAGATCAAATTAATTAATCAGTTATTAATTAACATTTAGCATTTGTAACAATTTGTAATCACATTTAATTTAAATTAAATTTGATTAATTAAATTCCATCCATCATCTACACACCTTTCCTTTTCAGGGTCCTGGGGGGCGGAGCCTATCCCAGCTGTCATCGGGTGAGAGGCCAATCACAGAGCTGACATTTAGAGACAGACAACCAGACACACTCACATTCACACCTACAGACAATCTAGAGTCAACAGTTAACCTAACGAGCATGTCTTTGGACTGTGGGAGGAAGACGGAGAACCAGGAGAGAACCCACACATGAACGAGGAGAACATGCAGACTCCTCACAGAGAAACTCCTGAAGGACGGGGATTCAAACCAGGAACCTCCTCACAGAGAGACTCCTGAAGGACGGGGATTCAAACCAGGAACCTCCACACAGAGAGACTCCTGAAGGACGGGGATTCAAACCAGGAACCTCCTCACAGAGAGGCTCCTGAAGGACGGGGATTCAAACCAGGAACCTCCACACAGAGAGACTCCTGAAGGACGGGGATTCAAACCAGGAACCTCCACACAGAGAGACTCCTGAAGGACGGGGATTCAAACCAGGAACCTCCACACAGAGAGACTCCTGAAGGACGGGGATTCAAACCAGGAACCTCCTCACAGAGAGGCTCCTGAAGGACGGGGATTCAAACCAGGAACCTCCACACAGAGAGGCTCCTGAAGGACGGGGATTCAAACCAGGAACCTCCACACAGAGAGACTCCTGAAGGACGGGGATTCAAACCAGGAACCTCCTCACAGAGAGACTCCTGAAGGACGGGGATTCAAACCAGGAACCTCCTCACAGAGAGACTCCTGAAGGACTGGGATTCAAACCAGGAGACCTCTCTCTCTCTCTCTCTCTCTCTCTCTCTCTCTCTCTCTCTCTCTCTCTCTCTCTCTCTCTCTCTCTCTCTCTCTCTCTCTCTCTCTCTCTCTCTCTCTCTCTCTCTCTCTCTCTCTCTCTCTCTCTCTGATTTGTGTTGGTCACTCGCCCTTCACGTGGTTTCTTGTCTCACTCAGAATCAATCAGAGGGTTAGGGTCAGACTGATCCAGAACCTTCTCTCTGCTGCCTCAGTCACATTAACACTCCGGCTTCAGAGTCCAGGTCAGCGGGGTCAACGGGGGTCAACGAGGGTCAACGGGTCAGTTCTGAGAGACGCGGTGGTTTAAGAGCAAAGAATTCACGTTACCATGGCAACAACTACGATGGCAACGGCAACTACACGGACTCTGTTCGTCTGAGAAAAAGATGGATGTCAAGAACCAAAGAAGACAAAATATGAACCTTTACTGACGTGAACTCTGACCCTGGTCATAAGCTCCGCCTCCTCTAAATGAGTGAGAAGAGAAAAGAGTGAAACATGTGCAGACGGTTTTTATCAGACGAGTGATTATTAACCCGCAGAGAGTCGGGCGGCGTCAGCGTGGCGTTTAAGAGCTGCAGGAACTCTGAACATCTCCGCTCTGAAGCTTCCAATCTGCAACGTTTACAACATTTCAAAATGATAAAGAGTGTTTTATTACGTTGTCAGAACTTTCAAAATAAAAGCATGCAGAGTAAAAACAGAAGACGATAATGTTCAGACAAACATTGAAGTGTTTTATTCACTAAAGGAAACTAGAAAGGGAAAAGTCATGGCTGTGATGCGTTTAAGTACTGCAGGAAAATCTCAACCTGTTTTCAGGTTTACAGTAAAACCTTCTTTTTATCCAGTGGAGGAGATGAGATGATGTTTACATGAACAGGAGGAAACCTCAAAGTCACTTCTTCTTCTTCTTCTTCTCTCTTTTACGTCCTTTGTGAGTCCAGGTGAACTCCTTTCAAACTTTCTTCTTCTCCATGTTCAAACGTTTTATTGAATCCAGACGACGTGCAGGTTCATCTTTAGAAATCATTCAGAAATCTTCCTAAGTAGCGCTGGTCTCAGTTTCAGTCACTTTGATGAAACAGCTCCACCTGCTGGTCAGTCCGTGTAATGACACATTTTAAAAACTCCACTAAACGTTACTCTTCATCGGGTGATTGGATCAGAAGCTGTTGAGGTAAAGTTGGCACGACGTCCTAAAGACAAAAGTTGCAGTGTGTGTGTGTGTGTGTGTGTGTGTGTGTGTGTGTGTGTGTGATGTCATCACCTTCCCGTGGCGTTCACTGATGCCTTTGATGTAAATGTTCCCTCTGAGCTGCCGTAGGAAGCCTCGCTCCATCAGGATGCAGCTGGTGGTCTCGGGGACCTGAAGGGGGAGGAGTCAGTGTTAGAACATACTAACATAGACACGCCCCCTCAGACAGGTGAGCTCACCTGAATCCTCCCGTTGACCCCCGTGCTCTCCATCCTGCTCGCCACGTTCACCGTCACGCCCCAGATGTCGTACTGAGGTTTGGTGGCTCCGATCACGCCGGCGATCACGGGCCCGTGAGCCGTGTTTACTATCAGAGTGGGAAACACTTTTATATAACTGGAGACTAATTTACATTTAAGAAAACATTTTAACATTTAAGAAAACATTTTAACATTTAAGAAAATATTTTAACATTTAAGAAAACATTTTAACATTTAAGAAAATATTTTAACATTTAAGAAAACATTTTAACATTTAAGAAAATATTTTAACATCTAAGAAAACATTTTAACATTTAAGAAAATATTTTAACATTTTTTTTTTTAAATATTTATTTTTGGGCTCTTGTGCCCTTAATGGAGAGATAGGACAGTGGATAGAGGTGGAAATCAGGGAGAGAGAGTGGGGATCGACATGCGGGAAAGGAGCCACAGGCTGGATCCGGACCCGGGCCACCCGCTTCGAGGACCACAGCTTCCATACATGGGACGCGCGCACCAACCACTGCGCCACCAGCGCCCCAAACGTTTTAACATTTAAGAAAACAAAAACATTTTAACATTTAAGAAAACAGAATAAAAAAATAAAAACCTAGAACATACTAACATAGACACGCCCCCTCAGACAGGTGAGCTCACCTGAATCCTCCCGTTGACCCCCGTGCTCTCCATCCTGCTCGCCACGTTCACCGTCACGCCCCAGATGTCGTACTGAGGTTTGGTGGCTCCGATCACGCCGGCGATCACGGGCCCGTGAGCCGTGTTTACTATCAGAGTGGGAAACACTTTTATATAACTGGAGACTAATTTACATTTAAGAAAACATTTTAACATTTAAGAAAACATTTTAACATTTAAGAAAACATTTTAACATTTAAGAAAATATTTTAACATTTAAGAAAACATTTTAACATTTAAGAAAATATTTTAACATTTTTTTTTTTAAATATTTATTTTTGGGCTCTTGTGCCCTTAATGGAGAGATAGGACAGTGGATAGAGGTGGAAATCAGGGAGAGAGAGTGGGGATCGACATGCGGGAAAGGAGCCACAGGCTGGATCCGGACCCGGGCCACCCGCTTCGAGGACCACAGCTTCCATACATGGGACGCGCGCACCAACCACTGCGCCACCAGCGCCCCAAACGTTTTAACATTTAAGAAAACAAAAACATTTTAACATTTAAGAAAACAGAATAAAAAAATAAAAACCATTTGACCAAGGACAGAACTCATTTATATTTCAGAAAACAAGATTACAAGATGTGAAAGCACCAAGATAAAGTTACATACAGTGTTATGTGGAGTGGCACCTCGTGGGAGAATGAAAACACCTCTGAGACTTTAAAGATTAAAAAAATGCAAATTGAAATATAAAGTTTATTATATAAAGACATTTTTGAGAGTTTTTGTTGAATGAGATGAAAACTGGTTGAGCTGACGTTAATTATCCATCAGAATGAGACTCACTAACATCATTTACATTATGAGTAAATGAAACAGCGCCCCCATGTGGCTGTATGTAATCATCACTGTCGTTTTTAATCTCGGGCTCAAATAGCGCGCAGGATCAGAGTGGATTTAGAACAAGAAGCTTCACAGACATGTTGTGAGGAGCTCTGAGAGAGGAGGAGGAGGATATATGACCTTTAAGGCTCATGAGAGACATTTTGGACCTGCTGCTTGCCGTACTGACACAGAGTCACTCTGTTCTCCTCACATTCACATTAAAACCTTTAAATCAAAGTTGGAGACAGAAATATAATCAACACAGAATCACAAGGCAGCGGGCCATCTGAAGTCTTTTATTGTTACAGATATTAATGATGTTGTAGTTTAATTTGACCTGAGCTCAAACACAAAGAATCGACCAATCAGCTTCAACGTGGAGACCAAACACAGACAGAAGAGGGAAATCATTCAAAGCCTCAGAAATAAATAAAAAGAGGAATCTCGACAGCTTGTGTGTGTGTGTGTGTGTGTGTGTGTGTGTGTGTGTGTGTGTGTGTGTGTGTGGGGTGTTGCCTGGTTTCTATGGTGACGAGCATCCCCGTCTCTTTCCTGTAAATGTATGAAATAAAAAGAACAAGAAAGTTAAAGTTTGGTGAAAAGATTCTTGTTCTCAGGATTTCTAAGAAGAGTGTGTGTGTGTGTGTGTGTGTGTGTGTGTGTGTGTGTGTGTGTGTGTGTGTGTTACCTGTTACACCATCTCGTACTGGTTGGCGTTGATGAAGCGGGACAAACAGCAGGCGAGTGACATCCCGATCAGCTGAGACGGAGAGAGCAGAGTTAGCCTCAGTCTGTAGTTCCCCACAGTTTCCCTCTGCCTACAGTCCTTATGCTAAGCTACGCTAAAGACATTCTGCAGCTGATTCAACTCAAACCAAGAAGTAAGTGTTGTGTTGTGCATTATTGTGTAGTACTGAGTGTGTACCTGAGAGAAGGCGATGCCAAAGGTCACTCCAGCGATGATTCCCATGTTGCTCTCGATGAACGACGTCACCAACTCATAACATCCCTGCAGACACAGTGAGGTCATTCATGTGTGTACGTTATGATAAATCTGTTTATCTTCTGTTTAAATTCTAATTAATTTATTGTTTATGTACAAAATAATTAAAGATTTTAATCCAATAAGGAGTTTCATAAATAACCGCGGTTAAGAATCAAGACTCAGAAGCATCGAATCATCCATCGGACTTCGTCCAATAAGGGGATGTTGTTGCAGACAGATGACCACGGACAGAGAGGTGTGTGTGTGTGTGTGTGTGTGTGTGTGTGTGTGTGTGTGTGTGTGTGTGTGTGTGTGTGTGTCTGACCTGTTTGTGGACTTTACGTGCAGCCAGGGTCGTGTTCTTCAGGTCTGCTGAGCTGCAGTCGGAGTAACTGACGCAGCAGCTGGAGGGAACTCCACCGACGGGGAAATACACGCTGCTGAACCAGCTGGTGTAGTTATAGACTCCACAGCATTGTAACTACGGAAACAAAGAGGGACATATGAATCTGTCTGCTTTTCATCACATTTAAAATAACTATAAAATATCTGATGGTCAATAATTTTCTCAAACATGTAGAGGACCGAGAATAAAACCCTGAGGAACCCCAGAAAACTGTTTACACTCTGAGAAAATGATCCTAACTAATCTAAAAGGTGACTCATTAAAACGAGCTCCATGTGCTGTTGTTGTTCAGTCGATGCTTAAATTAAAAAAAAGAACGTTTTAAAGAGACACTCACTCTTCGTTGAACTCCGTCCACAGCCAGACTCCTGTCGTCTCGTCCGTCGTATCTCATCACAGCTTCACTGTACGTGGTGAGGAACGTCCCTTTAATCTAAACACAAACACGGGATGTGTCATCAGTGTGAACGTTTGTTTTTGTTTGAAAATGTTGTTTTATAAAACGTGTAAAGACCTCGTGACGAAAGACGAATCCAGAGATTCCAGCGATGAGTTCAGTCATGAAGACGGCAGACAGAAAGACGGCGTACTGAGGAGAGGACAGGAAGAAGTGAATGACCTGAACACGTCCTTCTCTCTGATCATCTGAACACACACACACATCAAACACACACCACTCTGAGCATCCAGGGGCGCCCCCTGCAGGTGGCGAAGCAGCCAAACAGTCCGAACACGATGATGGCGAGCCCGGTGCCCGTCAGGACGTAGGGAGCGTTGGAGGGGGCGCTGGAGATCAACAACATGTAGGGGCCCAACATGAACTTCCACCATAACCCCACCGACAGCAGCACCACACCTGACACCTGAGGGGGCGGGGCTACAAGTTAGACTGTCAGCCAATGAGGAAGCATTTAAATCTTATTCTTACATTTTCATCCGTCTTTGAAGTGAAAAAGATAAAGTGTGTGTGTGTGTGTGTGTGTGTGTGTGTGTGTGTGTGTGTGTGTGTGTGTGTGTGTGACTGAGCCTCACATGACTCTGTAATGAGCTCTGACATCAAAGTGTTAAACTGACAAACAGACGAGAAGAAAAGAGTCGGAGAGAGTTTGATCCCGGACAAGACTATTACCTGGTCCACACACCCAGAAGGAACAACACAAACAACAACACAAATAACAACAACACAAACAACAACAGAAACTCAAACGTGTGCATGTTTATCAAACTGATTAGCATGTTTCAAAGAATAGATTCATATCTGTTGGGCCACGCAGGCTTAGGACAGTCAAACAATGGACTTGGGCCTGCACCTCTGTAAAAGCCTCATTTGAGTTATTCACTGAGATCACAAAGAGGCCTAAAAGGACTCTTAATCCCAGAATCCCCTGCGGTACTTCACACCTACGTGTGAAGTAAAGGGGGGACCGGAACCTCTCTCTCCTCATTGGAGGGGACCTGAGGTAGACCCCCATGGAGCAGGCCAGGCTACAAAACTCCAAGACTTCCATTGCTCGCTCTCTTTCACGCGCTGACCTTCGGTGCTCGGAGACCCAAGAAGATCTCCTGTTTCCTGCAACAATCTTCCTTTGTTTTAAGTTTTGGCGCGCAGGTAATCCGCGGCCGGCAGTGTTCTAAATTCCGAGCTCGGATTGTCCAGTGAACGCATCTCAGTTTCTCGGAGAGCGTCAGACTATAACAGATTATCAGAAAGATAACGGTCTTATTCCGTCCTGCAACGAAAGGACATCAAAGGACATCTTTCCACTCGACGGAGAACCAACGAAGCCGCTCTCGCCGTAAGGGACCCTCGCCGCCATCAGACGCCTCTGCACCAGGACGGACAGAAGATCTGCTCCATCGCCGGACTCTTTTCCTTTCACCAATCGCGGACAAAGCGATTCACAAGTGAGGCTTAATTAGGTCTGGGCAGAATTAGCTTTAGAGAGTGTTTTTAACAATTGTTGATCAAAGCAGAAACTATAAATTTTATCTTTGTTGGACCTGCGTCCTGAGTTTTAACTGTTTAAAACTCTTGTTGTTTCGGACCGCTGCGTCCTATATGTGTTTAGCGTAACAGCGTTATAACCGGGTATTACTCCTCTGATCAGAAAGGCCAGTGTAAGCTGTATTAACCTGAATTCGGCTATTGGTTTGTTTCTGTGAATGAAGGGAATTACTCCGAGTTGTGGCGCGGGAGTCGGACTGTGATCCGGCCTCTTCAGGCACGCATTTCTCTTTTATTCTCTTTTATTTCCCCTTCTACGCACACACATACACACATATTCCTGTGTAAACGTACATCTGGAGACCAACTCCACCACCGCGCCATTACGCACAGAGATCTATACACTCGCGGCTATCCAGACGCCTCAGAGACACAGATTGTGTAGGGCCGAACTCAGTCTCTTTTAGACCTTAAGGCCACATTTAGGCCTTTGTTAGGTGTGTGCCATCGGAAGGGCGACCACGTGGGACGAAGTAATCTTCCCCCCCCTTCTCTCTCCCTTTCATCCACACGTGCACGCACCCAGGTCTTTGTTAGGTTTGCGCCATCGTGAACGACCACGAGGGTACGAAGCCATCTCCCCCCCTTTCTTCTTCCCTCTTTCTCTCTCTCTCTCACACTCTCTCACACACACACACACACACACACACACACACACACACACACACACACACACACACACACACACACACACACACACACACACACACACACACACACACACACACACACACACACACACACACACACACACACACACACACACACACACACACACACACACACACACACACACACACACACACACACACACACACACCTACATTCACACCTCATCCACAAGCCTTTGCTTGATAATGTTTGTTGCTTAGAATAGTTATTTGTTTAATTAAGTTCATTGATTTTGGATTGATGTTGCTTTGTTTAAATAAATTCTGTTATAATTTAAGAGAGCAGTTGTTTGTGGTTACTGGTGTATTTACATTGTGATATAAGCTGGGTGCGAAGGCTTTGTGTACGGATTTCACGCCTTCAATTTATTAAATATAGTTATTCATTATTAATAATATTAGTAATTAAATCACTAATTTGAGACTGATTTGAGTGATATTTTGGTTATATTTACCTGATTACAGGTTGGTGCCCCAAAACGAGATTAAACATAGTTTAATGATATTTTATTTATATTATTAATAATTAAGTATAATTATTAAAGAATATAACCAAAGTTGACTTGATACAACCCCAACAAATGGTGCCCCGTGTGAGGTCTTCAATAAACCAGCTTTATTGCACTGTTAATGCACAGTAATCCAAACTTAAAATCCTAAAAAGGATCCTTCGGAAGAAAATTATATTTTCTTTAAATTTTTGTGGTTTAAGCAAAGCAGACATCAAGCAGTGGCTTAGTTGTGTTGTATGTTGTTAGTTAATGGTTAAAGCCATAACTGTTGTCCCCTTTGGGTCCATACAACAATTGGACATAATGATGCAGCTAGTGTGACTTTATCAAGGAACTTGATTTGTTGCATTAATCTAGATTTTGATCCTGAAGTATTCTACTAAAGGATTGTGATGCTCCTTGTTGTTTGAGAGCCATTTGGCCAGATGAGAGTGTAACCTCATCATTGTTGCATAGCCAGCTGTCTGAGAGGTGTGAGTTCCTCCCTTCCTTTGAGGACTTGAGGTGTGAATCCCCTCTCCTATCTTCCAGGATAGACTGCAGTGATCAGTTGGGAAACTTAGATAAGATTTGCTCTTGTGTACCAAGACCCTAGGTGAGTCGGGGGCTGAGACTCCTTTTGGATCAGAGGACGCAGCACTGCAAGAAACTGCTGCCGGTCTGACGAACCTCTCCTCAGAGGAGAGTGCCAACCTATATAGCTAGTCAATTAGCATTAGTGATAAGAAGTAAGAAGAGCTAGTTGATCTTGTCAACCACAGAGCCAGGCTCACCCCTAATAAAGACAGAATGTATGCAGAAGACATACATCAACTATGGTCCAAAGCTCACTATGGATCAGCCGATCCACCCCTTCAAGACATAGTTGCTAATCTTATCCACCTCCCTATAGAGCAGCTCGACAGCCTGAACTCCTACACCCTCAGCACATGTGAAAAGAAACTAAAGGGCTTGGTTGAATATGCAAATCAAGCAACTGGGAAGCCAACACGTACAGTTTCAGATGTTCTAGGCGAAATTCTCCTCCTTTATCAGCGCAAATCAAATGTGCAGAATGAGATACACCGGGAACAGCTAGCCCGGGTACTAGAAGAAGGACAGATCCTGCGGGACGACTTCGAAAGAATGCAGGATAAACTAAAGACCTTGCAGGAAAATTGCAAGGCCCTGCAGGAGGAGAATAAAACACTGCATGAAAGCAGCAAACTGGCCGAACAGAAGAAACAAAGTGACACGGTACCCAGATTTCAGGATAGGCAGATAAGTACTGCAGCCCCCAGATCAGCTGAGGAAACCTCAGACGAAGGATGGGAGACTGAACCAAGCCCCTGGAGGAGGGAGACAGACATGTTGCAGGATCTGGAGGAGAGGGGAAGGCACCGCCGGGTCGACCCAGGCACAAAAGCGCCCACGTCCTCAGACCACCCGGTAAAGAGCTGGATGATTAAAGATGAAGGGCCCCCGCGTTCTGCAATACGCTTTGAGCGAAGAGAACCCTCACCCCGCAGGAGGAGAGGCTTTACTCCCCCTAGAGACAGGGAGGAGACACAGGCCCAATTGGGCACCGAACGCTACCTGTCCCACGATAGACGGCCACGTCTGAGCCGAACACAAACCCCGCCACGGTTACAACCCTACTACCGTGACAACCACAGGGCTTACGATTCGTCAGACGAATCGGACGACCCTTGCCAGCCTTCGGGTCAGGGCCTGCGAACCAGGCAGATAGAACCTCAGGCCAAAGATCTGAAGCGTTTTGACCCAGATAGCCCAGATTCAAGTATTAACGACTACCTTAGAGAAGTTGACCATTGTCTCCTTGACCTGCCTCATGCGTCCTCACATGAAAAACTGAAACGGATCTGGAAGACTACGGCTAGGAGTGTCCGTGATTTCATGGGGACACTCCCACCAAAGGTCCAATACTTGCAGAAAGGAAACAAATCTGTTAGTCAGCACTTACAAACTGCCAAGCAGAAAGTGTTGGACATGTTTGAATTAATTCAGGGAGCACAGGTAAGCATGGAGCAAGACATATCGTCAGGATATGACTCTGATCCTGGACCAAGCCCCTTAAGAGATCAAACAACCCTGCTGAAAAAGCTCAGTAAAGAACCGAGCAGCCAGGATAACCCAAGGACTGAGGAAATAAGTCTAGTTTTCCCTGATTTTGACTGTGGAGCCCCGCTCCTTGGGGAAACGCCCCAGTTCTCTGACAACTGTGACACCCTTTCACACCTTCACAGGTTTGAATCACCACATAGGAAGGGGGGTGACTTCTCAGCCCCAGAGGCAGAGATAACACCAGGCCCCCTCCTGCTACCTGTAGGTTCCCATTGCAGGATTCACAGCTGAGGAATATCCAAACCTCAGATGACGGGATGGCTCCCTTCTACCCAGAGATCAAAGAATGCGCATAAGGCTCATTGAATCTATGGCACAGGATGTAGAGCGGTTTGATCCAGATAACTCAGACCTCTGCATCGATGATTACCTCAGAGAGATTAACCTGTGTCTCAGTGAGGTACCTGATGCATCCACAAGAGAAAAACTCAGGCTGATCTGGAAGACAACTTCCAAGAGTGTCCGTAACTTCACGACTACCCTTCAGCCTGAGATCAGATACCAGTACTCTGCGCTCTGCAATGCTTTGCGCCAGGAATACTCCACCTACATTGACCCTGCATCTGCCCTTCTTAGTGCTTTCAGTGTCTTGCACCAGAAGCACGAGGCCCCCAAAGATTATTACTGGCGACTAAGATCTGCATATTTCCAGGGACGTGAGGCTCCAGGTTTGGAAGAGAACCCAACTTTCAAGTCCATCTTCATGCACAATCTGCATGGCTGCGTGCGTTCAGATGTCACCCTGCATAGTCGTACACATCAGCTTAGTATGAAAGAGATCAAGAGATTCGCACAGGCGGTTTGGCAGACACGCTTACGTCACGTGTCACGTGAGGGCAACAAGTTGCCTTGTGCTAAGAATAAGAGACCATATCACCGGCAGAATAGAGAACAGAGCCAGGGGGTGAAGGTGGGACTCAACCACAGAGTAGGTTCCAGCCTGGAGAACTGATCGCTACCAGATCTGAACGGAACTCTCGGATGGCCGTAGTCTGAGACAGAAGGGTAGGTATAATCGGAGTT